CTCTCTCTTCAATTTAAATTAGGACCACCTTTTCTATATGTCCATCACACCGATTATTTTCATTTATGTAATTAATTAAAACCACACACACACACACACACACACACACACACATATTTGGTCTCCCTTACAGATTTACAGCTCTAAAATGACACAAATCATGTTCCTTTTTTTCTATCACTTAATATGCCCTGCACAATACTTGGCGCAATGAATTTTTTGAATGAATGGATGAATGATAGATGCTGTTAAGTGGATAAATCCAAGCTATATATAAGGACATTAGATCAAGAGGAAAACAACCGCAAAGAACTGAAACAATAATCTGACATCTGATAAAACCATATGAAAAACTGTTTTCCAGCATTGTCCATTTGATTCTATAGACTTTTAGCTATTACTTTCTACATCAATAGTGTGGTTTCACAGCTTTTCTATACTGGCTTCCTGATATCTGTGAATGCATGCACTTGTATTTTCAGACTTGTGGTGTAAATGTTAACATTTAAAAAAAATATTTATGAATACAGAACTGGGGTACAGGCCAGAGGTGCAGGGGTGGTGAGAGGGGAGCAGAGACAGAGTGGGGAGCAGAACAGGCTGGCTGATGAAGTACACTGCTGAGGGGAGCGGCGGGTGGGTCAGAAGAGGTCTGACAGACCATATGGGTCACCTCTGGGGTAGGATGGAACTCATGCTAAAGTGACTTTAGCTTCTTAGTGCTGTACTTTAAACCACTGCACCACCAGGAAGGGCCCCTAAAATGGTAACATTTTAAAGGATTTCTTCCCTAAGAATAAATTCTAATTTTCCTTTAATTGTGTAATTTTCCTTTACATCATCTATAATTTGTAATCTCTGAGAAGTAACTCACACATTCAAGTCAGACACAGTCCAACAAATTAGCAAACAACAGTGGTCATTTTTTTCTGGATCAGTAAAGATAATAGATTTTAACAATCATAAGGTGACTTACAAAAATATAGAATTTGGGGACCTCCCTGGTGGCAAAAGGGATTAAAGTTTCAGCAGTATGAAGCTATTGGTATCCACTGCAGCACGAGTTCCAGCCCTGGACAGGGAGGTGACCCACATGGCACAGCAGACCTCTTCCGTTTTGCCCACTGCTCCCCTCAGCAGTATATTTCAGTAGATCTGCCTGCTCTGCACCCCACTCTGTCTCTGGCAAAGTCTCTCACATCCACACGTCTAGCCTGCACCCCAGCTCTTGTATGTATATATATGTAAAATTTCAGAATGTTTCCCTTAAAACAATTTTGTGAAACTCATTTCTAGTCAGCAGCTAAAATTTCTTTCAAACCCCTTCAGGCTTACTCTATTGCTATTTTTGCTACAACACAACTGCAGGATTTAAAAGACCAGGTTTCCATGTAGGCTTTCATTAATTACCTTTCTGATTCCCGGGGTACTAACCTTGAGTCAAATAAAACAGGTGGTTTTAATTGCTCCAACATTCCTAAGGAAACATAAAGAGGTGAGGGAAAGGAAAGTACCACCTTCCTTTCTTATTTGAGGAAGTACCACCTTCAAGAAAATTTTTTCAAATTTGAATCTAGATTTATTCTTTCAGATTTTTTATTATTATTATTAAAAATTTCTTGCAAATGGGGTCTCCCTGGTGGCACAAGAGGTTAAAAAGCAGCACTATGAGTGATTTGCAACCACTGCAGTATGAGTTTTACCCCTGGCCAGAGCCTGTCTTGCCCGCTGCTCCTCTCAGCAGTGTATTTCAGAAGGTGTTCTACTCCCCACTCTATGTCTGGTGAATCCTCTCACCCCTTCCTTCTCTGGCCTGTACCCCAGCTCTTGTATGCATAAATAAATAAATCTGACCCCAGCCCCCGAGGTGACCCACATGGTGCGGCAGACCTCTCCTGACCCGCCCGCTGCTCCCCTCAGCAGTGTACTTCGTCAATCTGCCTACTCTGCTCCCCACTCTGGCTCTGGTGAATCCTCTCACCACCCCTGCACCTCTGGCCTGTACTCCTGCTCTGGCCTATACCTCCGTATGCATAAATAAATACATTTTTTAAATTTTTTAATTAAAAATTTGTAGTAAAATATACTTAAAATGAAATTTATCATTTTGAGAATTTTTAAGTATACAGTTAAGGGACAGAAGAACACTGCACCCTTAAGTAACCATCAACACAATCATCCCCAGAACTTTTTTCCTCTTGTAAAACTGAAACTCTAACTTCCATTAAACACCAATTTCCCATTCTTTCCTCTGACTCTGGCAAATGACATCCTACTTTGTGTCTCTAAGAACTTTTTTTCCCAAATAAAAATTTGCAGCAAATGGTGATACAAGGGGATAAAAAGCAGCACTTAGCTAATACACTAATGTCATCATCGTATATAAGTGAAATCATATAGTATTTATACTTTAGTGACTAGCTTTTTCTTAACACAGTGTTACCAAGGCTCATCCATGTGGTAGCATGTGTTAGAATTTCCTTTCTAAAGTTGAATAATATTCATTTTAGGTATATATGACATAGTTACCATTTCATGTGTGGATGGACAATTTTTGGGTTTTATAAATAATGTTGCTGCGCAATCATTGCACAAATATCCTTTTGAATCCTTGAACTCAGTTCTTAAAGCTAATGCCCAGAAGTGAATATTTAGATCACGTGGTAATTCCATTTTTAATCTTTTGAGGAACTGTCAAACTTTTCCATAGTAGATGTATCATTTTACATTCTTACCAACAGCACATAGCATTAGCATTTCTCAACATCTTTGCTAATATTTGTTATTTTCTGTTTGATTTATGATAGCTGTCCTCCTAGCCATTATGATACCTATCAAGAGGTATCTCATTGTAATTTTTGATTTGGATTTCCCTAATGATCAATGATAATGAGCCTCTTTTCATGTGTTTATTAACTATTTGCACAAATAGATATTTGAAGACACGTTTATTCAAGTAATTGCCCAGTTCTTAATCAGGGTTATATAGTCATGTGTGACTACAATATGACAGTGGCCCATTAGATTTTACCATATAGCCAAGGTGTGTAGTAGATTGAATTATCTGAGTTTATGTAATGAGACTCTATGCTTGTATAATGACTAAATTAAAATTTCCTAGTGACACATTTCTCACAATGTATCCCCATTGTTAAATGACACATGAATATTAAAGTTTAAGAGACACTACCAGTCAAATCCTTGAGATAAATCCATTGGTTATTTGACATTAAATAACCCATTGGATATTTGTTATATATTTTAATTTTTTAAAAAATATTTATTTTATTTACACATACATGCAGGCATGTATGCAGCTGGCATACAGGCCAGAGGTGTGGTGGGATGTGTGAGGGTGTAGGGGGGGGAGAGAGAGAGAGAAAGAGAGAGAGAATTTACCAGGGACAGAGTGAGGAGCAGAACAGGCAGATCTCCTGAAATACACTGCTAAGGGGAGCAGCCAGTTAGACAGAAGAGGTCTGCTGCACCATGTGGATTAGCTCACTGGTGAGGAGATCAAAGTGGTATTGCAGTGGCTGTTGATTTTTTTCATAGTGCTGTGACTTAACCCATTGCACCACCAGGGAGGCCTCCCATAGGCTATATGATATTAATCACTATTTACATCTACAAAGCTATCATTATTACAGATAAAGTTGTAAATTTTTATTTTTTATTCTATTTTTTAAAATTTATTTATTTATGCATATAAGAACTGTGGTACAGGCCAGAGGTGGGGAAGGGGGGAGGAGAGGCTTCACCAGCCAAGGAGCAGCAGTGGGTCAGGAGAGGTCAGTCACATCATGTGGTCACCTCTCTGTCCAGGAATGGAGCTGCAGATAGTTTCACAGTGCTGGGCTTTAACCCCTTGCATGACCAGGGTGGGCCTTGTAAAATTTTAATTTAAAAAATTATATGTGGAATGTAATTCATATACAGTTGCACAGAAAAATGTGCGTAAACAGTTTACTGAATTTTCACAAATGGACGCACGTTAACTACTTCCCAGATCAACCTTATTAAGCACCATGGAAACTCCTTTCCTAGCCATTATTCCCTCCCAAAGTAACTATTTTCTTAACTGCTAGCAGATTACTTTCCTTATTGGGGGTTTTATAGAAATGGAATTAGTAAGTATAATTCCCTGTCTCTTAAAGTTCAACGTAACGGTTCTGCAGTTAATCCATGTTGTTACCTGTAGTTGCAGATTGCTGGAGTATTCCATTATATGAATTTCTTCTATTGTTGATCGCCTTTTTGCGTGATTTCCATTTGGAAGCTAAGACAGATGCAGCTGTGAACATTCTGATACCTTTTAGCTGGTGCACAGTACAGGACTTTCTCTTGGCTGTAGATAAGGAGGGAACAGCTGGGTCATGGGGTTTGCTCCTTTAGCTGACAGTGCCAACTGTCTTTAAAAGCAGTTACTGTACTTTACATTCCAGCGGCAAGGAAGAATACAGCTACTCTGCATCCTCACTAACTTGGCATTTGCCATCATTTTTCTTCTATTCTATTTGAAATTTAAAAACAATTGAAGCAACATTTTTGTTGCTTTCAGGAGAACCCTTCAGTTTCTATTTGGGTCTCTGAATTATTAACCATCTCAGGCTTCTACTTTGTCCATAGTGGACTGTGAGCCGACTTTGCTCAACATTTTTGCTCACTCAGCCCCAAGGATGTGATCCAGTTAGGTGTGCAGGGGTTGAGGAGGTGTCCTTTAAATTCTCTGGAAATCTAAGTACTGTTTAGGCAAAACTTAAGCAGACTTTTCCGGTCAGTTTGTCTTTCGAGAGTCCAGTCTCTAAGAGCTCCAGCTCGCTTCTAGCCTCCCCACTGGCTCCCCCGTGGCACAGTGAACGCAGAGAAACCTCCCCAAAGCACCCGCACAGGGGAGGAGCGGGGCGGAGGAGCTGGTCCGCGCGGAGCATGCGCAGACCCAGGCCGGCGCATGCTCCGCAGCGCGGCGGGTCCGCAGATGAGGGGAGTCGTGTCTCCCGCGCCCCGCCACCCCCGGCGGAGCGGCTGCTGAGCAGCTTGTTCTGAGCCCTGACTGCCAATAAAGTTCGTTAAAAAATCGTAGTCATTCTTAAAAGAGCAAAAGAGGGCGCGATCCAGCCGGGCGGTCCCGCTGGGGGAGCTGGCGCGCTGGGAGGAGGCGGCGGCAGCGGCAGCGGTTGCGCCGCGACGCGGACGAGCGGGTCAGTCGGGCGGCGGGTCGGTGCAGGCAGGGGAAGGTGAGTAGCGGCTCGCGCTCCGGGGCAGCGGGGCTGCACTCACTTGCCTTCTCCGGTGCTGAAGACTCCTCCAGCTCGGCTAGGGAAGGACCCGCCTTTCCTCCGAGTCCCGGGAGGTGCTTTACTCCGGGGACTGGGGAGGGGTGTCGGGGGCCGGGGCCTCCAGGCCCGGGTTCCCTCCTCCCGGCTCGGGCAGCGGGCGTCCGCACCCCGCCACTGAGCGTGGTGCCCAAGTTCCGACTGGAGGAGGTGGGCGGCTGCTCCTGCCTGGCGCCCCCTCCCCCTTCCCCGCAGCTTGCGGCGGTGCGGTTCCCGGGGTGTGGGCCCTTGGAATTGCCCTGTGGGCGGGAGGAGCCTAGTGGAAGTGGGTCGGGGCGCTGCTACTTTAGTTTGGCCGACCACTCGGCCTCTGGCCCTCCCCCAACACCCCCAAAGGGAAGGGGCTACTCTGGCGGTGAGAGATACTGACTAGTGGCATCACGTGCTGCGGGTAGGTGGCTGGAAACGGAGTCCCAAGCTCTACTCTGCCTGGAGACCCTACTCCACTCCTTGAAGTGGGATCGTGTCCTCACCTCCGGCCCCACCCTTCCTAGCCTTTCGCTCCGAGCCGGCTGGAATATGAATGAGCCAGACTGCACTGTTTCGTTGACACTGGCTGCCACGGAATTACTTTACTCGAGAGATCCTAGGAGCCCTGCTCAGCTCTCAGGCATCAGAACCCGAGGGTGTGTGAAAGAATAGTTAACTTCACGGTCAAGCAGCTGTGGAGTCTGAAAAGGGATATTGCCCTTTTCTGAGTTTAATATGACTCCACATCTTCTAGGCGGCTTCATTCAGCCTGTATTTTAAAAATAATACCTGTAGTTAAGTAAGGCTGTTATGAACAACAACCCTTTTGATCAATGTATTAAATCGTCCTTTCCTTTTCTAATTTCCTAGACTTTTCTTGTAGTCTATAAAATTAAATTCGAGGGTAAGTGCGTTTATGGAAAGCATTCCTGTAAATTTTTTCTAATATTGTACTTATTTTCTAAGAACTTAATTCTTTGGATAGTGTTTCAGTTTGATAGGGTAGTAATCACATCTGATTACACTAAAGTATGGTGAAATTTACTTGGGGGGGTGGAATGTGTTTTTCTGTGAATTTCAGACTCGTGTTGCCACATGATAGGATAAAAAAGAACTGGTCTGTCCTGCCACTCTAAGACACATGCTTTTCTTTTATAAACTTACCCGTCCTTTCCATTACCCCGGGCAATTACTATCTTTTTCAGTATGCCATATAAATGGAATCATGTAACTTTTGATGCTGACTTCTTTCAATCAGCACAGTGCCTTTGAAATTCCTTCCCGTTGTTGCATGTATTTTTTTTTTAATTGCTACGTGGTAGTCCATTAGATGAAGTGCCTCCATTTGTTTATAAACCCATCCTTTCAAAAACGTTTGTATTGGTTCCTCTTTGGTGGCTGTGAATGAGCTATTAAACATTCATGTTTTTGTGAACCAAAGTTTCATTTGTTAGGGTGTTGCTATTGGGATTGTGTGGATATAATGTAAATGTATGCTTAATTTACAAGAAACTGTCACTTTGTTTTCCAGAGTGGCTGTATCTTTTTGCATTTCTCACAAGTACCAGTTGTTCGGCATCCTCTCTAGCACTTGATTTTCTCGGTGTTTTTTTAATGTAACCATTCTGACAGGTATGTAGTGGCATTTCATTGTAGCTTTAATATGTCTTTAACTCATTGCTAAGTAAATATTTTTCTGTGTGTTTATTTGACATAATCTTTTAACTATCTGGCCAGGATTTTTGCCCATTTTTAAGTTGGATTGTTTGTTTTTTCATATTGGAGTTTTGAGGGTTCTTTATGTGTGATGGATACAAGTATTTTTTTTTAAAGATTTTTTTATTTATGCATACAGAACTGGGGTACAGGCCATAGGTGCAGGGGCGGCGAGAGGCTTCACCAGAGACAGAGTGGGGAGCAGAACAGGCAGATCAAGGAAGTACACTGCTGAGAGGAGCAGCGGGCGGGTCAGGAGAGGTCTGCCGCGCCATGTGGTCACCTCCGGGGCAGGCGGGAATCAAACTCATGCGGAAGTGGCTTTAGCTTCTCAGTGCTGTGCTTTAACCCGCTGCGCCACCAGGGAGGGCCCGGATACAAGTATTTGATAGGTAGGTGTTAAGCAAATGTTTTCTCACAGTATGTAGCTTGTTTTTGTTCTTTTAGCCTGTCTTTCTGGGAGCAATTGTTTTTTTACTTTTAACAAAGTCCAATTTATCATACTTTTCTTCTATGAGTGTTGTGAAGCTCATCTTTAAGAATGTTACCTAATGTCAGATAGTAAACAAAAATTTCCTGCTAATTTCTGTTTAGATCTTTGATCCATTCTGAATTATTTGTATCAGGTACAAGTTTAGGTGAAAAGCAGCAGCTTTTTTCTTGCATAGGATGCCCAGTTGTCTCATCACCACTTGTGGAAAATACTGTCTTGAGCACATTGAATTATTTTTGCACCTTTGTAAAAAATCAATTGGATGTACTTGTGTGGGTCTATTTCTGAACCTTCTGTTCTGTCCATTGATTTATGTATCTTTTAGCTAGTCACACTTTCTTGATTAATGCAGCCTCATAGTGTCTTAAAGTTAGGTAGTGGGATTTCCACCAATTTTCATTCTTTTTTAAAAATGACTTAAAAAAGGCTTTCCTTTCTTTATAATATCTAGAATGCTCATGTTTCTAAGTAATATCCTATGTGTACTTTGGAATTGCATTAAAAAAATAGATCAATTTGAGGAGAATTGCTATTTTTTACTTTGTTGAGCCTCCCAGTCCATGAACGTGATATGGTCTTTATTTCATTAACATTTTATATTTTCCAGTATACAGATGTTGTACGTATTTTGTTAGATTTATGCCAAAGTACTTAAAATTTTGGCAACTATTGTAAATGTTACTAAAAATGTTTTGGTCCCAAATTGTACATTGTTAAGAGGATGGAATGAGAACCTACCTCAGTGGCTGCAGAGAGCTCACAATGTTGTCCTTTAACTGGCTGCAACACTGGGAAGGGCCCAGAAAATTTATTTTTTAATTACCTCTTGGAGTTTCCTATTTGCATACTCAAGCCATCTGTAAATAGAGGTTGTTTTCTTTTTTGGCTAATTTGTGAGCATTTTATTTACTTTATTTTCCTTTTATTTTAGTCAGGACTTTGTAATGAATAGAAGAAGTGAGAGAGACAGTCTTACCTTGTTCTTCATTTTAGGGGGAAAAGCAATCATTCATCAGATTAAGGATAATGTTAGCTATAGGTTTTTTAAATAGAAACCCTTAATCAAGTTGAAGTCCTCTTCATTGCCTTGTTTGATGAGCTTTTTCTCCAAATAGATGTTAAACTTTTCCAAATATTTCCTCTGTATCAATTGACACAATAATGGACTTTTTCCTCCATTACTCTCTTAATATGGTGGATTACTATATTCACGGATTTTTGAATATTGAACCTGCCTTGTATTCCAAATATAAATCTCACTTGAATGTTTAATATATTGGTGCACTAGATTTCTAATATTTTGTTGAGGATTTTTGCATGAGGGGATAATTTGCCTACATTACTTTTTTGTGCTCTATATAGTTTTGGTATCAAGATAATGGTAGTTTTATATATAAAAAAAGTTGCAGGTGCTTCCTCCTTTTGTATGTTCTAGAAAAGATTATGTATCATTGGTGCTAATCCAATAAAAGTTTGGTAGAATTGTCCAGTAAAACTACATGAGCCTGGAGATTACTTTTTGGATTGTTAAGTTATAAATTCAGTTTCCAGTTAAAGACCTATTTAAATTGGATGAGTTGTGACTGCTTACACTTTTGAAGGAATTAGTCCCTTCACCTTAAATTGTCAAATATATGTGTGTGTGGTTGGTTGTTGTTTTCATTTTAATCCTGCAGAGTTAGTCCATAGTGATAATCCCTGTTTCATTTTTTAATGGTAATTTTCTGTCTTCTTTTCTTTCCTCTGTCAATTTATTGATTTTCTACAAACCATGAGCTTTTTATTTCTTTCTCTTCTCTATTTTCAGTTTCATTGATTTCTGCTTTTATTTTTATCATTTACTTTTGTTAGCTTTGAGTTTCTTTTGCTCTTTATCTAGTTTCTTGAAAAGGAACTTAGATTATTGAGTTGAGACTTTTGTTTGTTTTAAGGTATTTAGTGCTATAAATTCTCCCTCCCAGTAGCTTGTCTTGTCAACTTTAATATTCATTTTCATTCAGTTCGATATTTAAAAGAAATTTTCTTGAACTTCTCTGGCCCAAGGCTTGTTTAAAGAAGTGTGTATTTTTAGTTTCCCTATGTTTTTGGTTTTGTTGTTGTTCTAATTTTTGTTTTTTTGCACCAATTATTATAAGTATGCTGAGGTTTTTTTATTTGTTTGTTTGTTTGTTTTTCTTAATAGCCTAGAATGTGGTCTGTCTTGGTATATGAAAAGAAGTATATTCTGTTGTAATATGGCCCGTATGGCCTGTTCTATAAATGTTGATTAGATTTGATAGTTGTTATTGTTTTTGCAGTTTCATTTTGTTTTATTTTCTAGTGCTTTTGAGCATATCTCTACTTGAAATTTCTTTAGTAGTTGTTCTGCTATTACTAAATATGTTTACAATGTATCAGTCTATTGGTGTCAACATTTTACCAGTTCAAGTGAAATATAAACCTTACCTTTATATCCCTTTATCCTTTCCCACTTATAATCATGTCTCTTAAATATCTTCTTTACATATATTGAAAACCACAATTAAACAGTGTTATTTTTGTTTCAACTGTGAGACATTTAGAATAGTCAAAAGAAAAGGGAAATGGACTACCCATAGTTTTGAAAAACATTCAATGTCTTAAGTGAACATCTGAAATCTATACCTTAAAAAATTTTCTTAGATGATTCTTATAATCAAACAAGTTTGTGAAGCACTAGGGAGAAATAGTGAGACTTAATTAGGGACAGTGAAAGGACCTTTTAATTGTTTTCATTTAAAATTTGTTTTGTATAGTGTACATAGTGGATTTCAGTTGTGATAGTAGAATATATATATATATATATAAGTAGGTGTGAACATAATTAGTAATATTAAGAAGAAGTATGTAGGAATTGACTTTCTTTACTTCTCAATCTAAAATGTAAGTAATACATACTCTGCTACCTTCATTATATGAGGAGCTATAACAAGTCAGAAGTTAAAGAAAGAACAGTTTGGTATAAGGTTATTTATTATACAAATATTATAATATTTGGGGTGCCTTTCAAGAGACATTAATTCTTACCTGTGAGACTGAAAAGCAGTTTCCTTATATTTTGTATGTATAGCCCATTTGTTGGTGACTATGAAGGATTTGCATTGTTGAATAAAACTACCATTTTTGAATGCTTCATTATGCCAAGTGCTTTATGTATTTATTGATCAACAATCCCCTGAGGTATAAATATCAACAATCCTTTGAAAAACTGAAGCCAAAAGAGTTGTGAAGCAAAACTTCACTGAAGACACTGACTAGTAAATGGTGGCTTTAAATCAGACTTCAGTACCTGTACCCATAGTCTTTTTGTGCTGTTATAAGAATTCAAAAATGAATGAAGTTTTTCTCTCTTTTCAAAGAATTTACATTATCTAAATGGCATCGGGAGGTGGCTTCTGTATGAAAATAAGTTCTTACAATGTAGAATAATTATTTTGTAATAAAACAATTGTCTTTTTAAAAAAATGTTATCTAGTTTTTATATAATGAAGAAATAATTTCATTTTAAACTGCAGATTTGAGAAAGAAGATCTGATCACCTGGAACTAAAGTTGGTATAGAAATTTCAACTCCAAAAATGTTGGAGGAAGATATGGAAGTGGCCATCAAGATGGTGGTTGTAGGGAATGGAGCAGTTGGGAAGTCAAGTATGATTCAGCGATACTGCAAAGGCATTTTTACAAAAGACTATAAGAAAACCATTGGAGTTGATTTTTTGGAACGACAAATCCAGTATGTACTTGGCTATTTTATCCTCTCAGTTCTGACTTGTGAATTGTGGCTAAGACTTCCATTGGCAAAAATAGTAGCTAATCACCATGCTACACAAGGTTAGGCACCTAGTGCCCATGGCTCCTGAGATGGTGTTGGTTTTCAATTGCTCGTTTGTACATATATCTTTATCCTTCTCTTTGTGCCTCCTTTCATCTCATTTCCTCCTGATTTTCCTCTTTTTATCCTACTCTTCCTCATTTTTTTGTTTGTACTGATTGTTGGCACATTGGGTACCTTTTTAGTTAAGATTTATTTATTTATGTGTAAAAGAACTGGGATATGGGCCAGAGATGTGGGGTAAGAGAGGATTCACCAGAGACAGGGTGGGGAGCAGAACAAGCAGATGCACTGAATTACACAGCTGAGAGGAGAAACAGGAGAAGACTGTGGTACCATGTGGGTCAGCTCCCTGGCTGGGGATTGAACTCCCCTTCAGTGGCTGCCGATAGCTTCACAATTCTGTGTTTTAACAAACCTTTGTGGTACCACGAAGGTCCGCATCTTGGATACTTCTAAAGCACAAATGGATGTTTGATTCTAACGAGATTTTTGCCCACAATTTTATTTGGAAGGAAAGTTACCTGTCTGTCAGAAGATTTTATCATTTATATTATGGGATCCTTTTGTTTAGAATGTCTCTTCTTTTTTTTTTTAATTAGACTGAGAAGACTATACAGAAGTTTGTGAATTAATAATTTGTTTTTATTTAAAGAAATGAGAAAGAGCAGATTTAGGAGGACTAAATACTCATATGAAAAGGAAATCTTAATGTCAGGAAATCCAATTGGATTTCTAACCACACCAAAGTGACACACTAAGTTTTTGTCATTAGTCCTAAGAACTTTTAAAGCTATTTTAAATTATACAAGACAAGTTAACAGTAAACAATAAACAAATCTGACTTAATTAACCCAGACATTATCATCAAATGATAATGTGTTATTTTTACAGATTGTTGAATTTTTAATTTACATTGTTACCTTATTAAAAAAAAATTCTGTGCTCATTTCCTTTCTTACATCATATTTTAAGAGGATTCATTTTAGTCTCAATGTTTTGTTCTTGTTATCTGAACCAAATCTGTATTTTAAGTATACAATTATTTCTCATTATTAGTAGTTTCCATAGTTGTAATTTCACTGAGCTTAGCCTAACATTTATGTATAACTCCAGAATCTGTATTCTCAGTATTAATATAGTCATTCTTTACACATACACAGAGCAGCAAAAAAACTAGAGTTGCCCTACAAGCATGTTCTCTGCTGAGGTGGAACAAGCCAACCTTCTTCCTTCTTGTTGCATCTCTCATAAACAAGTGTCCTTTTGTGTTCTGTTTTTGTTGGTGATTTGCTGTTGAAAATGGCCTGCAAGATAGTGCTGAAGTACTTCCTAGTATTCCTAACTACAAGAAAACTGATATGGCTTACAGGGAAAAACATGTGAGTTAAGTAAATGCTCCTTTCAGGCATGCATTATAGTGTTTTGGGCTGTGAGTTTAATATTAATTAACAATATCTATTAAACAAGGCATCTTTAAACAGAGCTACACAAAAACCAAAGTCTTGTGAGAACCTAACCCTGTATTTCCTCTAGGAGCAAAAGTTAGGTACTTGCTAATTCATTACTTGCACTGATTTTGTAGAGTACAACTACTAAAAGAGAATGGACAAAAATAGAGTATATTTTTGAGTTAAAGGTCAAACTATTAGGTAAGCTGCTGCTTTTCTTTCTTACCCTATTAGTTGTACTCCAGAATGCAATCATTAGAATGGCGTAGGGAAAGGCAGTAGGCAAAGGGAATTCCCCTTTTGCCAATTCTGCTACTTTAGGACCAGCACTGTCTGTGACTTTTGTTGATGGTCAAGTATGACAGGTAAATCTAAACTTTGAATAAAGTTGCCATTTTGGAGGGGGGTTGTCTTTTGTTTTTTCTTTTTATTGATAATAGTAACAACAGTTGAAAGTACTGACTTCACAGGGTGAAACCAACAATATAGGTTTAATACCTTCTGACATAGCTATGCAACTTCTGTCAGATGACAAATTTCTGGCAGAAGGGAAAATCTCTGAGATATCAGAATTTCCATTGCTAAATATATGTATAATCATAATATCAAAAATATTCTGAGCAACCATCAGCTTACAACTGGATTGCCTTAGCTTCATAAGATGGCTACCTGGCCTGGGCAGGTACTAGTGCCCGAGGGCAGGAAATTCCTTTGTCTGCTTGATAAAAAGCAAGCCCCCCAGGGCATCAAAACTTTAGGAAGCATCCCTGTCTTGAGACCAAAAGCAAACCTCAAGAGATTAGAATCCCAGGGCATAAGGATTCTTGGGCAGTTTCCTAACTGTTCTAACAGGTGTCGCTTAATCCATGATTGTATAACTTCCTCTTAATGTCCCCCTTTCTTAAACAATCACTAACTATTCTCTTATAACCTTAAGTTAGCCATTAGCTTCTCTTTAGACAATCACTAATGACTCGTTAACACAATCTACTTCTTCCCTAAGACCCCTAAAAATCCTTCGCTAACAGCTCATCCTTTCCCAGACCCCTTATCCTTTGAGTCAGAGTTAAACATCCATATAAATGAAAGTTATCATAAATATGTATAATTTAGTATACATTTAGTATATAATTTGTATACCATGAAGTGTCTGGAAGAGGATGCATTGTTGCCCTCTTCTTTGAGAATTTTTATGGTGATTTCTTAATTAATTTACCATATGCATTATTGTAATTAACTATTTGCTACAAAGTATAAATAAAGACCTGCTGAGAAAATGGGCAGGAAGACTTGCACCCAACACTGACTCCCTGTCTTCCTCACTCGTGTTCCCCATCTCCCCTTTCTGGAATCTCCACAGGCAGATGGCCAGCCTATGCTAGTTTGCACCTTTTAAGCTCCTGAGCCCCTGTGTGTTGAGGCCAGCCCCCAACAACCTTCAGATTTGAAAAATAAAATGAACTCTGAACTATATTATTAGAACCGTGTCTTTACATGTGAAATAAATTCATCTCTTGTTTCAGAGTTAATGATGAAGATGTCAGACTAATGTTATGGGATACAGCAGGTCAAGAGGAATTTGATGCAATAACAAAGGCTTACTATCGAGGTAAATTGTGGGGCTTTCTTATCTGGATGTATATTTTGACTAAACAAGCTTTGCTTTCGTTGTTTCCCACAGAAGGATTCTTTTTTTAGAATGCTTAAATTAATACCAAAGTATGTTTTAAAAATCCAAGTTACTGTTCTTGTTAAAGATAAACCGTAGCATATTAAAATTTTAGGAATTTATTTGAGCAAAAATGGATTTGTTAGGCAGCACCAACCCACAGTGTTAGAAGCTGGGGGGAAATTTTTATAGAGGAAAAGTAGAAGTAGTTATGGAAATCAGTTTGGGTGTAGCTTAAGGCTAGTTGGCTGTGTGGGCCTGATTGTTCCTTGAGTTTGAGATTCCTACCCATGAGGTATTTAAAGTTTTAAATTTTGATATCTTTACCTCAGCCACCTCATTCATCTCAGTCTAATGGTGTCTTTGTTCAGTTAATTTAATATTCTGAAGATCTTGTTGAGTAATAAATAATACTTTGTGCTCTGGATAATTTGAGTCTGCCGTAGAATCATGTTACTCCCATAGGCATTCCAAGAAAATGTAAAATTTCTACTTCTTACCCCAAGGAAATGACTATATTCTAAAGACATAACGCTAATATAAAAAAAAAGCAATACCTTGCATAAAGGTATGATTTTGTTATGATACATGAAGTGGCCTTTTCAGTGCTGTAGGAGTTCCAAGAACTGATGTATATGTGAAAGGAAGGAACCACAAATATAGGACTTAAGACTCTAAAATGTTGCATTAACATTCTCAATAAAAGGTTAGCTTTTTGAATGGAACTTAAAGTTTCCATCAACATTTTCCTATAATATTTTTCTTTTTCTTTTAAAAATAGTACTTTCAGTGTTTCTCCAACTCACTGCCAATAGCGGTTGTAATGAGAGCAAAATAATTGGAAAATCTGACCTAGTACTATGTAGCATTATAATTTATTGATGCTCTTAAACATATAGCTTGTGTGTTCCACTTTTGAAAATGTAGAATTTATTGTAATAAAGGCAACCGAGGTCTAATGAAAACATAATCACAGATTAACATTGAGACTAACATAGCTATTGCCTTTTTAAAATGGTCAAGAAAATTTGATTTCCACTTGCCTGCTCTAAGAAAATATTTTGGTTCCTGGGGAAATGAAGAGAGCACACCTCTTATGTCACTTAGTAATGCCACCACTACCTAATTCTTACTCTATTTACTGTGTTCTTAAAGGTTTCCTTCCAAAATAGCTTTGATCCTTTTCTTAGGATGTTAATTTGGATTTTAAGCACCTCATGATGTGAGGTGGGGTTTATATTACTATTCAAAGTTCTTTATAGATTATATTTTATCAGGTTATGAATTTTATCAGCATAAACAGTTTTTATTAACAGGTCCTAAATATATAGTTTTTCTTGAGTAAAAGGTATTTTTATTTTTTTTAAATGGGATTAATTATTACTACCAGAGTGCCTGCTCCCCTTTCCCCTACCAGAAAAAAAATAAAACAAAAAAACCTAGGTGGAAACCTCAAAAAGTATTGATAGTAAAATTACATGAGACTTTCATTTTCTTGTTATATACCTAGCGTTCCTCCCTAAATTCTCAGCATGAAATACTTGTTCTCTAGTGAGGAACAAAAGTAGGTTCGGTTATTTTTCTAAGCTTTTGACAGCTTGATATGGCAGTATTTAATTTTTGTGGTTATTTTTGAAGAATGTATTTACCATTATGTTCAGTAATTTAAAAAGGCAAAATGTGAGTGTCTGTAATCATCACAAAATAAAGTCTAACTTAAAAAAATGCCAACTGATAAAATAACAAAAAATATTTAATTTATATATATTTAAATAGAAAACGTCAGAACCATTTCAGTGAGGTAAATCATTGTTTAAATAATAAGAAGAAATAAGACCAAGTAGCTAAAAAAATTTTCATGTCAGGTATGCGTAATATTTTTTTTTTGCCATGAGATGGGTATGTCAAGCATTACTTTTTAATTTTGGTTATGTAACCTATTTTGTACTTCTCAGGTATCTACAAATAATTCTGCTTCTCTTAACTATCTCTAAAAATACATTCTTTGCCAAATACTAAAAAGTGATTCCATAATTACAAGTATTTGCATCTCTATTTTCTGTGAATGATGTTTAAATTTGTTTTCACTTTGTTCATTTGGAGTAAAAGACTTTAAACAGCTTTGAGTTCCCTATATTTAACATTTTTAACTTCAGTTACTTTAGGCATATTAATATAAAATTGTTAAAAAGTTATCTTAAAATGTGACATTTCGTTTGTGAGTAGTTTACTGCTATCTTAAAACGTTACCTTTTTGGTGAGCTACATTAAGATGGCAAAGAGGGTGAGATACTGAGACCATTTTAAGTGTCAGCTTTTTCTAAGAGTAAACATTTTAAAAAGATTTATTTTATTTATTTATGCATACAAGAACTGGGGTGTAGGCCAGATGTGCGGGGGAGGGGGGTGGAGGGGTGGTGAGAGAATTCACCAGAGACAGTGGGGAGCAGCACAGGCAGATCTGAAATACACTGCTGGAGAAGCAGCAGGGGAGACAGAAGCCTGCTGAGCCATGTGGGTCAGCTCCCTGGCAGGTTGGAGATTGAACTTGTGCAGTGGTGGCTGTTCTAGCTTCATTGTACTGAGACTTCATAAACCCTGTGCCACCAGGGAGGCCATCTTTACCACAACACAGTTTCAATTAAGGCACAGTGATGATTATACATAAATTTGAGAAATGACACAGTAACAGCACTCTTTTATGCTTTCCTTTGATGGTCCATCAGAATAATTTTGGTTGTGACAACATAAAGGCAATTTCAAACTGACTTGAAAACTAAAAGGTTTATTGGCTTGTTTAGTAGAAAAGCCTAGAAGTAGTTTAGATTCCACTTGTGGTTTGTTCTGACTGTAACCCCATTGTGTCCCTGCCCTGCCTCCCTTCCTGTCTGGAGATCCTCCTCCTGCTGACTTTCCTCACAGTTGCAAGATTTCTTCCATCTGCATTGTAAAGCATGGTTTTATCCTTAACCTGAAGGAGAAAGGTTACTTCCCCCAAAGGTTCATCAAAAGTCTTGAGCTTTTATCTGATTAAACTGCTCTTGACCAGATTGCAGTAAGTAGCCTGAGGAATGTGATTATCCTAATTGACTTGGCAAAAGTAGAGGGTAGGTTTATCCTGCTTAAACCATACTTGCTGGTTTAATAGAGGAAGCTGTATTCTCAGAGAGGAAAGGAAACTAGATGCCAGTTACAACAGATTACCAAGTAATAGTATAGATAATAGACTAGCTTCTAGCTTCAAATGATGTAATTAAATAAAAATAGGACTAAGAAAAGGTGGTTAGTGTTAGTATATAGATTAATGATAGAAAAACTATGCCTTATGAAGTTATGGCTTAAAAATTTATGTCCTAAAAATTACTTAAGATTCATAAAAGCAAAATATATGTATTTTAAAAGAAACATTTCAGTTGAAAGGCCTATGATACCCAAAGTCATTATACAAAGGCATTATTTATGTTTTGGGAATGCTGGCTTAATTGTACACTAAGACATGTTGAAACATGACCTTCTTGTAAATAAGTTAGAACACAGTACAGATCTTATTAAGAAGCCTGTGGGGATCCTAAATAATTCCTCATAAACTCTTAAAGTTCACCCTAGGCAGTAAAACCATACTTCATACAGAAAGTTACATACAACATAAAAATAGATTCTCATTATAGTTTCTTACTGTGATTTGGTTCTAAAGAAAACAAATGCTTTTCTGACTAGTAATATATGGAAATAGGTTAGACTTGAGACCTATTACCTGAGATTATGTACATAAGTAGAAGAAACTTTTTGTTTTTTAAAGTAAGTTCACAAACAAATGGAAGTTAGCTATGGAAGAGAAGCTACTTATAAGTTACAATTATAAGACTTAAGGACAGAATTAAACTATGTAATACAGTCAGATTTGTTTTGAAATTATATGATCATAGAACCTGTGATAGATTGGTTTACTGAATAATATTGTATACTTTAGATTTTATTGTGTGTAAAGGAGGACAGTTACTTTAAATAATAGCTGTAATAGTGGACAAAGCCTATGTTTCTCATTGACTTTTACTGTTGTGGAATTTTATACTATGTTCTCTAGAACAGTGTTTCTTAAACTTTAATGGTAACACGAATTCCTTGGGGAGGTTGTTAAAATGCAGGCTCTAATTCAGTAGATCTCTGGGTGGCTCTGAGATTGTGCATTTCTACAGTTCCCAGCTGACACTGATTTGTCATGGTATGATTCTGAGGGTAGGTGGTATTAAAGGAAGATTAAATTGTAGGAAAACAAAGGTCTTTGTAATATACATGGATAAAAAACAGTAGCTGCAATTAGATATCAAAAGTGTAAGATAGGTCCAAATGACTACTGCAGAGAAGTTAGAAACATTAACTTTCATGAAAATGATGGTATCAGCATAGTATTGGAGGTTAAAGAAAAAAGAAAGGATATCAATATAGCATCATTTTTGAATTAAGAATATTCATCATAATTGGCAGATTGGTAGGCACAACTCATGAAGTTACCAAAATAAAAATTGTTGTCTGCCATCATCCCTTTATTTGATTAGGGAATATGAGAAAGGAAGTTCTTTTCTTGACCCAAAATGCAAATTTCCTTCAGTTCATGTCTTTCGATCTCTCTGAAGTAATTTTTCTCAACTGCCTCCAAGTTATCTCTGGTCATAAACATAATAAGCTCAGTTTGGTAATTAGAACAGCTCATCCTGTATGAAGCGAAAGTACTGGTGTAACATAGCATTAGATCTCTTATCCTCCTTGGGGCTTTCAGTAGGCCACCACCTATGGTCTGAAAGGAGAATATCGGTCATTTCACTGCCACCTTCCCCTCTACATTGATAGAGATGGTTCATCTTTCTCCTGAATCATGCCTAAGGAGACCAGAGCACCGTGGCAGTGCAATTGCTGCCTGAATAGGGGGCCTCTGGATGGTAGGGACAGGGGTTAAAAATGATTCTTCCTCTGGATTAACTGTCATGGTTCTTCAAAGAACCCGAGTTTCCCATTCTTGGTAACTGGGCATGTGTACACTTGATTCTAGCATTTGCTTTGCACCTTTGTGGAAATCAGTTATTTCTTTTTCATCTGCCCCAATGCCAGCCTCCCATCACATGCTTAGTAGTCTCCTTGGACATGATATTGGCTATTTTTAGATGTGACTCACTTCTACCTATAAGAAACTTGTGTGTGTTCTTGACCTCACTATTGGTGGGAGCACAGTTATTTCCCATATAAAGTTCTCTTTTTGTCTTTTAGTCCTGCTTTTTGCTTTTGCTCCCAGCTACCTCATCTTTCTCAAGATTGAGTCAAGCCACCTTAAGTTCAGAGTGTCTGCCAGTTGCTGGGAATACATGTCAAGTTCTTTAAGTAGTCATACTGAGTGCATTCCTTCCAGGTTGAGATGGAGAAGATGATGATAGAGTAGTCTGTCCCATCCCACCCTACCTTCTTGAAAGAGAGAGGTTTTGGGGTAGACGGTAATTTCTCTAAAGAAATTCTTTATAAATTTTCCTTTTTCCATCTTATCAATAAAAAGTTCTTCCAGTATTTGAGGGAGTTTTGTATGAAGTTTTGTATGACAGATTTATATTCATTTTCTATATGATTCTGTAAATAATGGTCTATTTTTCACATGCTTTTGAATCTGGCATTTGTCATCTATTTTATTGGTACCTTGGTCAAGGTTTTGTGATTAAGGTTGTCTTTTAAATTTTTTAAATGTATATTGTAAAGAGCTGTTTGGTCATTACAGGTTTCCTAAACATAAAATAACCATAGTGAATTACAATTTAACAGTGTTTTATTTGTATAGATACATGGTAATGTTAAGTTAGGGGAAATTAAAACAAGTAGCCATCCAGTGTTTGTCAAAATTATTATAACTATAAAATAGTTGATTTATCTTTTCTCATCTTCACAATATATTTAGGTTAAATCAGAGGAAGTGATAGCAGTAACATACGAAGACTTAATTTTAAGTGAACCATCCTATTCTGGAGATTTGTATATGATTCTTTTTGAAGGTCATCACAGCACTTTCATCTAATTTTAGATTTTTATATTTTCTATACTTTTAATGAAGTCCTCTTTACATTAGATAAATCTAGCCATTTAGTCGTCACAGTTGTCTTTATTTCTATGGTGATTGTCTTTACCTTGAGACACTTACTGATTTAATTTTAGTCTGCCCTTTCCTTTAACACACAAAGAAGTTCTTGCACAACTAAATGGGAGTCATTTATTTGTTAGGCAGTCCCAGGAAGTGCAAATGAGAGACAAGCAATAGAAGGGGAAAATACTAATAAAGAATACATTAATGAGCTAATTATTACTGTAAGCAGTTGTGTAATCAGTCCCTCTGAGTAACCATTTGGACATGCTTTGGATGGTTCCACTAAAGTGAAGTTGAGGTATTTATCCCACATCCCATAAACTTCTTCCCAGAGCATCAGTTCCCCTTAGGGAATTAAAGCTAGGGTCCTTCTGAAATATCAGAACAGCCCTGAGGTAGAAATGCAGAGAGTCACCTGCAGTTTATGTGTGAGGTGGATTCTGCAGGAGGTTGGGAGGCCAAGGGGCACGTGCAGGGAGGGCTGGGGGTGTCAACTTCACATATTTCTATTTTCTTACCTTCCCTGATTACTTCAACATTCCAAAATTATATCTTTCTCTTCAGACAAGCACTTTAGCCATCCATGTCTCTCTACTTAGGAGCCCTACTAATTAATTTTGGAGAGGTTGTGGGCATACTTGTTATCCTTAGATCCTTGATTTTTCAAACAACATTGTACTTTTCCTTTTTTTTTTTT